GTTATAGTGCGTCCTGAAATTGATTACAGCTGAAAGGTAGAGTTCTTGAACGGAGGAAAACCGTTAACATGTAGCTGAAGATTAATGACTCTCACCTTAGTGGATTCCACCGAATCCATAACTCACAGAAGGCCCTCCTCCAGCCCGAAATTTATACAACTGCCACCGGTGAATTTTCTCTTCAGGGTTGCACGTGGAGTACCCAACAATGTTGAAGGATTTAACAACAAACACTTTACCACAGGAGCGATGCTGTTCATCAACAGTTCACTTCAATGCAATAAACCAAGCGGATACCTGTACTGCGTTTTTATTCTGTGTCTTTATAATCTGTTTGCTTAGTTACGAAACAGTGGTCGTTTAATACAAAAAGAGAAAACCTTCAAGCCTCTGGAAACATTGATTTACCCTCGCAGTAACTGTTATGCTACGCTTGAGTTGTGGCACATATCTGGAAGAGGGCAATGGCGTAAATATTCCCCAATAAATTTGTATGATCACGGACTTATTAATTTATATCCGACAAACACAATTTTTGTTGCACCATGTTCTCCTTAAGTGGGACACTTCTCTAATTGGTGCAGTAAATATCAATTAAGTCGGGTAATAAACCTGGCTATCTACTGGAGTAGTCTGAAATACAATATCTATTCGAAATCGGGGACATTCATAGAACGGCTGCGTGTCCCCTTGTTCTGGCTAGAGATTTCTGAACGTTCGTATATATATATATATTTATATATATCGTAGAGGGAATTTGTCGTGTCCAGAGCAAATTATGCGTGAACTGAAAAGCTGAAAAGCACTGTACAGCTGTTTCAACCTGTTTGGGTCTCATCAAAATTTCAAATAATTAACCCAACTGGGGATCGACCTCAGGGCCTCACATTAATGCAAGCATGCTACCACCACACAACCGATCAGATTGTTTTACATTTTTCATCTAAACGCTATGGATAGTTTTATATTTTTAAAACAATGCAAAACTAACACTCAGAGCTTTGGGTGCACTGGAGTCGCACTCATGGAGCACTAAAGTTACAGTCTAGGAGCACTTTTGCTGGCAGGGTAAGCTGTGATACGTTTGAACACGCAAAATGTTACGAACTTTTTTCAGCGCGAATAAAACCCCAGTACTGAAAAGTTGCGGATATATTTAAATAAATACAATCAAGACGGTTATATGAAAACAAAGACATTATTGATGCTTTTGACTGAAGTTTGTAAGTATCCAGGTTCCTTCCATGTACTCCAAGAATTAATATATAATGTGTAAACTTAGAAAACGAAACAATGTATGAAATTTGTTATTAAAAAGAAAATCGGTGCAAAAATAAAAAAATATGGATATTCGTAAATCGTGATACGTTTCATTTATTCAGTGTATCAAAAGTTGAAATTAATAAATTACATGACTGACAAGTGCTTATGTTGGTCATGAAAAAGCGAGTTAATAAATGCATCTCTCTATTATGTAGAATACATAAGCGCTTATCCATTTTGACATCTGTGATTGTAGAAGTATTAATCGCACACTTCTCCAGATCCAATTCTAGCCTAGATGTTTGCTCAAATGTGAACTGAATACACGACAAATGAAAACGCCCTGGCATTACAGAACTGTATCTTTGCCACTTACTACAAGATAATCCACCTACAAACAGTAACAATGGATAGTAATTCATAAACTGATAAAAACTTAAGTTACATGCTTTGCTTTACGGCAGCTGGTTCCTGGGAGAGGATAAGCTGGCTTTGTGCATATTCAGAATTGCCGCTGCACACGCTCGGCAGTCTGCTCCAAGATCAGTTCAGATTGTGATCCAGCTTGACTTCCGTTGGCGATTGCCCTAGAAGGAATGGAGATCAAGGTTTTCAGTATCTTTGCGTACTGTGTCTAGCCAGGTTTTCAGCTGTCCACTGTGCTGACCGCGCCATTCGGAGCAGGGAGGCGGTGGCCAAACCATTGTGGTTGCTGCCGGTGCACTAGCTTTTGCAGCTGTATAAGATTAAAACACATTTGATAGCTGATCCCTCCGTCAAACTTCTAGAAGCTGATGAAAACGCTTATTTGATCAAAATAAAAGGGTAATTACGGAACAGTTAGACGTTTCACTTCCAACTCCTGCGATGGTGTGTATTTCAGGCCTTACAGCAAATAGTCTGCAATGAATTATTAAGTAGCTTAAAAATTTCTCTCTCTTGTTCACTCGGTTCAGTCCTCAATTTGCGGCGACGATAGTTCTATTAATGCTTTTATACTAGTTTAGGGTATCTGTGGGACGATGTCGATTCAGCTTCATCGTTGGCATCCGTAATATCTATGCCCGGGTTAAAATCAATAAAAATGTGGTTACATTTGCTGATTTTGATGCTGTGGGAATCAGTTTTGGCCTGTAAGCGAAGCAACTAAGTAATACGAATTATTGATCTAACTGCACGGTTGGTGTTAGACGTTCTTTTGATGTATTGCATACATCACTTTTATTGGTACTCGAGCTCCTTTGCATGGACACGTTAACATAAATTACAACTCAATGCATGCGGTTTCTGGTATTTTGCTGGATTACCAACAGTGTTCTGAGGCTCGTCGGGAAATTGACAATTTGCGAGTAATCCCGTGGGGTTTACTTTGATACGGACCAATCTTATTCTTAACCAGACAAAGTAAATCAAGCGATATACACGTCCAACTGGGATAGCACATGTTTACTTAAATTTTGCGATTGCCTTTGGAAAGCATGGGTTCACTTGCGTTCGATGAAGTTTCTTCAGTATCCTCCTGTTACCGCTTCTCGTATATCAATGCCTTGAGTGATTAACAAAGTAAAATTGCTGTATGTTATCCATAAAAACTCACCGGTGCTCCAACGTATGTGGAATAATTTTAGGTTTTTTAGTCCAATGATAAGCTGCAACTGAAAAGCGATCTCTTCGAATATGCACTGGCAATACTGCTCAAATCCAACTTCAAAAGATCTCTTCAATGGCGCTCAATTCTCGAGTTTAGCAGAGATTTCAAATCCATCCAAAATCTCACTAAAGGACAAAAATACAAGCACAGTACCTATCAATCGTGCAAACAACAACTTTCCCTTTAAAGCACCCGACAATCTAGAAATAAATCAATTTTCCAGCAGGTCAATGCATTTTAAATAGCACATACACTATTATTGGTGTACTCTGTGCCCATAACTGTTTCCAGAATTTTAATTTTCTGAAGACTTCTAAATGATCATATTGTCTATTTACGGTACCATGAAATCTCAGATTTTCCAGACAAAGAACACAAACAGCAAACCTAATTTAGGGAATTCGTAACCGAAGAACTGATGGAAACCAGTATACGATGAAACCTAACACAAGTAGTTCGAAATGACGCATACTTTTAGAACAGTCCAAGTGAAAAGTTGCTTACTGTAATTTTTGGGGCTGTAATTTTGTTCATCTGATTAGAAAAACCGAGTGTCGTTAGCCATGGCGTTTATGCATTTACTCAGTTTTTACGTAAATTCAGTCTAAGTGAATTGTTTGTGTTTAACCGGGTACCACTCCCCGTTTCCCACTCCAGATATGGAGCCAAAAGATATCAGACCAGTCATACGCACACAAAAGCAAGTTCAGCGGTATTAACTGAACTGAAGTAAACCTCGTCAGGATCAATTTAAGGTTGTATTGTGTTTAGTAAAGAAATAAACAAATGTTTATTTACATCCCAACCGAAGCGGATTATTTTTGTGCAGTTTTTATTCTGTATCTGTAATATTCTTTTAACCCGCGGTTACTTTGGCACTGAGTTTGTAAAGATTGATTTGCACATAATTAGGTATATATCGAAGGTTCCTACTATATATAACCAACCCGTGGTCTTACCTTCACCACTAGTGTCGATGGCAACGAAAATTCGCTTCATTTTAACATTGCGATATCTCCTCCAAGTTGCTTGTTTCAGTGTGAAGAATGTGTTATTCCATATTCGATTTTCATTAAAACAAGACAAATGGTACAGCAGAAATTGAATGATCATATCAATCTTCAGCGAATAAACTTTCATCAAAACCAACTACCTGAAAGTCTAGCTTAACTCACACGACTATCTCTAACTCCTGAGCTCTTTAAAGCTTTACCTGAATGTTTATTCCAACCGCTTTTTATCCTATTCCATCTTCCGCCTGCCTCGTTAAACACTTCTCGCAAAGGAGCTCAAAGGAAAAGCATGGGACAAACCTATAACTAGAAATCACAGTCTATTTAAGTTTATCAACTGTTCGTGCCCAATTGTGGTAATTTTATCTCATAATTGACAACAAGCCCGTCTATCGGAATTGTACAGGCATGCATGGAAAATGAGGTTTGAACCCTTATAATCCGTCAGAAAAATATTGCGGGAATATGAAAGATGTTTTAAGTTGATAAGCCGTAAGCATGATGAAATCACATTCAAAAGATTCCTCCCCCCAGAAGGAGTAACCTTTGTTGTTTTTATGTATGGTCCTGTTCCTCAGTTAGACACTGCATTTGGAAGAAATGCTAACCACAGCTGTGATACAGGTGAAGTTGTGCATAAAAACCAAGATAACTAAATAACTCTTCATCGTAGATCGACGGCTTGTGGTAAGAGCGGTTATGGTAGAGACAGATAAACCAGATCGGTTTATAGATAAGTTTCTTTTGCTACTATGTTTGAGGGTTCGTAAATACGGTACTTTCAACGCTGATAATGAAGAAAATATGAACTGCAAAATGTCTGATTTCACAAATGTGTTCAATATGAGATTCAATGCCCAGGTTTCTAACCAGTAGTTTCACATATGCCTCCACAGTAGATAAGAAAATGGCAAAGCGACCTTTGAGTGATGGAGACTTTAGCCGCCTTTTGAATCTTGTCATCTCCGAGTCGGATTCAACGGAACGAAAATTTGAAAAGTTTTATTATTCTAAAGGTTGTTTCAGTGGTACCCAGGTAATGGTTGAATGACAGATAATAATTCTTCGTCTAGGCATCTGCACTACTGGCCAGCTTCAAAACAGCTCCCGAACGTGTGCGTGTGATTAAAGCACTAGAACGGGTAAGTAATGTGCGAACCCGATCATTGCTTTTAGAGACTATGCCGTATGTGTTGCGCGGAGGCTCGAGAAATACTGAATGTGATCCAACTGACCAATCACGATCGTGTTTTCGCTTTGGACTGCATCAAGAGGTAAGTGAATTAACCACTGAACGAGTATGCCGGTTTTGAGAACTTTAGTTGATCACGAAACGACGGAAGGAATCGAATATATTCTCAGTGCTTTCCCTTATGAAGTAGATAAAAAGAGGGCATTACAAATACTTTCCACAGTGGGTCGCGCAATTGTTGTTACTCATAAAACACTAATTGTCCTTCTTTAGGTCAGCATGTACGTGAATAAAGAATTGGCCAGTGGTGGACATCAACTGTATGCACCATTTGGTGGTTTGTATGGACAAAGCTTCCCAGGAAGGGAGGCACTCTACGGCCCCATCAACGAACAGCTTGCCGTGAAGACCGTAAGTTTGCTAGCTGCATACATCTCTGCAGTCAAGTGCAGTTATTATCCGACTTCATGTATCTAGAGCCAATCAAATACTAATTCTAAATTATTGTAATTTATCGCATTCCGGAATGAACGCAGTACTAAAGATGAACAATCGGGTAGATGTAACTTTCTTCATCAAAGCAATTACATGCAAACATTTTACATTCAACCAAACATGAGCTACCAAGTGGATTAGTCAGTTTCTAGAAATCTGAACCAAACAACTAGAAACATGAAATTGAACACACCAATGTATTGATTATTGAGTACATGAACAAGTAATAGCAATGAAAGTAATTTCCATTCAAACTGCCAAAACAATCGTGGAACAAAGTATTGACCGCATGACTGCGATTCAACGTCTCATCCATGGTCAGGCATCTTAATGTAACTAAAAGGAATGAAATATTTGTATCGGAACTCACATATGGGATATTCGGAAATCGATCAACTAATCACACCCGGATCCGTAACCCGAAACGAAAGATCCTTAGAATGCATGGGACCAGTAGAATTTAAGTGCTCATTATTGGATGAAGTGATGTTATTAAGAAGGAAGCTGGTTTTCTCAGTGAGTGAGGGTGATTGGCATGCAACTGACCTCTCATTCTAAAAAGGACCACGTTAGTTGAAAGGTTTTAAATCTTCAGAGGACAAAAGTTATAGTGGCAAATGGGAGGCATAACTCAACCACGCCTATTTTGCCAAATTTGTTGGGGACAGTGACGTTAAGAAGAACAACAACGAACTATTCCCTTCCACCGGACACCACCACCATCATCATCACCCGTAACAAGGCTGTTATGACGCAGTCAACGAAATTAAAAACTAGACGAACTTCGACTAACCTAGCGGATTTGGAATAGTACTGCCAGGGTGATAGGGCCATCATCCATACTCAAAGTCCTCGTTACAACGGCGATAACCTAACGATAAGCAAGCAACTTTATGTGTTAATACAAAAACTCATTCGCTCAGAACGCAATGCCTAGTTTGGATGCAAGCCAATGTCATCTGGATCGAAAACGGTGCCCACTGTATTTCCACAATAAAACATTCACGATTTAAATAAAATGATGTTTTTCAGAAATAAGAACTCGATGCATAGGTGCAGCAATGATAAAACTTGACTAAATTGGACGAAACTCACAGCACAACCTTTTAATTACCGAACTAGCATTACAGATAGTAGGCATTTTCGGTAAAAAATGGCCATGGACATCAGCCTCATCGGTTACTCTGAAAAATGCTGACGCTAACCAATGCAAGCATCTTTATTATAAGATGCTCAGAAGGAGCCAGGAAATCATTCTTTGTCACTAAAGCATACCAAGAAACACTCAACAACACTGAAATTAATAAGTTAGGTATAAGATGGTGGCATCGAACAATATCACAGAATGCCATTAGTCGGAATGTAAACCGAGCGCAGAAACTCTTAGCGTGCAAACATTTTGGATGTTATCTCAAAGATGAATTAAAGTTTTGATATGAATGAATGTTTTAAAAGGATTTTAGCTGCCCCGAACTAAAATATGAGTGCATCTAGCAAAACGACGGTTATCGGTAATTTTTCGTTCATTTACTATTTATGCTAACTTAATGCAAAATTTGCCGTAGAGGTCCCGTGATTGCGTTAGGTGAAATTACTGTAAGGTTTTGATGGAAATCCGGTAGGTTTTAAAAGTTTATCTTTAGAGTTCAAGCATCATTCATGCAGAATGTTTGAATACTGGAGAACGTGTAATTTCTAGTCTGGAAAACTCATTGACGATGACATTATTACCACCAGCTAGTGAATTAAACTGTTCGATGACTGTTAAGGTGGGGATAAATGTAGCTGTGATAACATTTTATTTAATTCTCGCCAAACAGCACTTAATACAACGGTATTGTTCTTTCTAGGACTGGGCAGTGGTCCATTCCTGTGCTTTTGCTTCCCTGCTTCAATTAAGCAACGTAAACCCTTACCCATGAGCTACACGATTGACGTCCAACACATTTAGCCTAAGGTTAATTCATTTTTGCCTGTCACGTTTTAGTTTAGTTCTTGAATTTTCACAGTTATAAAGATTTTGTGTGTCGATCTTACGGGGGATGTTTCATTCTTTTGGTGTTCTTGTGGCCTACACGTAGTTTAATGCGAGTATGTAAAGTGAACAAGAATTTTCATGTGAATTTTCTTTTCTTTGAGAGAGGGAAACAAAATGTACATGACAATATTTGATAATGTTCAAGGTTTACCTTTGCATATTCATCCCTTCAAGCCTAAAGAAAAAGGTGTATTTTAATCCCAATCTTTCCTGGTATTACTGTTGTTGCATTGGCAGCATGGTTTTTCGAGAACCGGTGATGTCCATGTCCATATAGGAGAATTATTTTACATTTCCTCTCTCAGTTTGCAGTTTGAAGATAAAGAATTGCTATTTTGGTTTTTAGCATGCAGTGAAACCGTCCGTGCCAGTGACCGCTTGTGTCAAACAACCACCGTCCATGTTTACTGCCGCTCCATCCTACGCTTACAACGGTGATCAAGACAAATCGTGGTACTTGGGGGGTGGCAAACCGCCACTACCACCTCCTGTTGCAGACTCTGTACTCACAGGACCACCAGTCACGTTGGGTGAAAAGCGTATGGATTTTGCTGCCAGTCAACCGAGTTATCCGATCAAAGATCCATGTCTCAGTATTAATCAAAGTGCACCGGACCCTGTTGGATTCCGGGCGATTCACGAACTAAAACTTACAGACTGTTGCTAATCTCACTCAGGTTGGATAGAACAAAATTTGCAGCGTTCATCCAACTATACGTGGTACGGAAACCAGATACTTTGGCTACATTCAACGGATGAGATTAGGCAATCGACCATGCTAGATTCTTGTCATCGCATTCAAAAATGTATTTTGACAAAACATGGTCCTGACAGTATTTTCTCATAACCAAATTCAATAATTCTTTATTTCGATATTGTATCTCATTTATGAATATAAACATCAGCAATATTTATCAATGTTTAGATCAAAGGAACACTTGAATTCAGGGGCAATGATTGTAAATGTGTTTTGTTCATGGTACTGCCACACGATGAATAACAATCGCTGGTATCGAGAAAACAGGTTGGTGTGTGAACAGCAATTCCCAATTACACCCTTACAGATCATATGGCGGAAAATCCTTGCTGAGTGATAGCCGCTTGCTCTGTTGAAGATCGGTAACCTGAGGCACAGGGTAAAGGTCGACGCAATCACGTGCCTGTGTGTTATTTGGTGCAACCCTTCTCCACTAGGGACAAGCTATACGTCGTTTTCTGTCATGATTTTCAGACTAAGTCAAAGCAGTTGAATTCCGTGAATGTCGTTTGGGCACGGGTTTAGGCTTAGTACGCGAATGACGATAGCCTCGACCATAACCATTGTCTAAGCTCACACCACCTTCGATAAAAGGGGTGTTCCCGAGATGAGCCACGATTAGAGATAGTTTCGGTCTTTTATTGATCTGGTCATGTCGGGTGGTGCTTAATGTGTTTGTGCAAATATCTTACAATGCAACCTAGGTGATATGCGCAAGAGACACACCTAAAAAAGTAAATTTACATGCATAAGGTCGGTTTCGACAGGTTTTCATTTGCATTCGCACCACCGGTGTATTTAGAGAATATTGATTGAAGCTTAGGTGCATAGAAAGTAGAATCAACAGACGCGGTGATCATACTGAACGTTCAAGGCGTCTACCCCATAAACGATTAGTTCTACCTTTGTGACAGAGAGGAATTTTTCCTTTTCTGGGGTGGTCTGAATATTCTCATCAGTAAGCCCTTCCAGATCACTACTATTCCATAGTGTATCTGGTGAAAGTATCCTACGGGTTCTGAAAGCTGGACACCATATAACTTTGCAAGTGTTTTTTGACGAAATGAACTGTAATAGTACGGTTAATAATCATCAAAAACAATTGTTTGTTGACCGACTAGGTTTCTAAATCGGTTAAGGTTTCATTTTTTCCGATTACAAGCTAATTCAAAAATTTGCGACCAAAAGCTGCCCTTCACCTACTTTCCGTTATGACTTAAAAAGGAACGAAACAAGCTCATTACTTACTCAGGCGTTGGGATTATGCAACTAGAGGATGCTAACTTTATGTGAACTTTAGTTTTCCTCCATTCTGTTTTTTTCACCTTGATACCTATATCATGTTTGCACTTCATTAGGTGACCAAACGGGTACCGAAAAAAAGCGGTACACGAAAGCGCAAGATCAACGGTCGTTTAAACTAAAAGTGAAAGCATATTGGTGGCTAGTGGATAGGATTTTTTCAAAAAACACCTTTCGTAATGAACTTGAAGAGAGAGAAAATAGTGGACTCACGGTGCATAATTTTTATCCGCATATATTTTGCTCATACCTTATCTTATATATATATTACATATTATATATCTTATCTTAGCTTATATCATACAAATGATCAAGACAACTTGACAAAATTACCGATAGTAAGTTGAAAATTGTCGTAGATTTTACCAAAGACACTGGACGAAAACGAATATTGTCCTTGAATTGCTTTTGATTTATCTAACAATTTGTTGTGTTCATTCATATTATACAATCTGCAGTTTGCACCAGATGAGAAACAACAAAATTTATCCTGATACAAACGGGATTATTGGCTTTCCTGTTTGTTTCCATTCAACACAATTGCCACTATGTATCCCCGACGTAAAAAGAACAATTTATTTATATTTGCACGATGAATAATAAATAAAACCTTAATGTAATGGTATCTCGGCATGGGATCAGGAAAAATCAGTAATTCCAGGGTCATTGACGAGCCAGCGCCATGTCAGGCATCATGACAGGCTTCTGAGAGTTGGTCTGGATAACCATAGTGTATTGAACACGTTGGATTAAAAAACTTTCATGCATCGGGTTCGAATGTAAATGGCTTCGGCGACTATCTTCTCCTGTGGATTCCTAGCTAGTGCTACCAAGGATTTTCAATGGTCGGTAAGACGTTGATCCTGTTGGAAGAAGGCATTTTCCTTACGAAACTGAATCTTCCAAACCGTGCCACAGAAACAAGTTTATGCTCATTAGGTGCAGACAGCCTGTTCATTTTGNAAAAATTGGCATTTTGTGAACCATTCCTTCCTCATAAAATTAGAAAACCATTTGGAGATGCGGTTTGTTGATATCTGACTTCGTTTTTTGATGATGCGCAAATAATAAATAGATTTTTTATCCCTTAGACAGGACGGCATTTGTACTAAAAGACAAACAGAACGCTTTCTGTTTCCGATGAGAGATGAACTTTAGGCACACGAACACCTTACGGGTCATCAGTCAGTGAATTCGGTTAATTGTTGGGGCATTTGAAAAAGTACAAGAACGAAATCAAGCACAAGTGCTCGTATCAGTTGATGTTAGGCAGAGTGGGGTAATCGACAAGAGTGTACTTTACCATTTAAACGAAGAACGGGTTTGCACTAACACACTAAGCTTTGAGGTTGGTACACATCATTTACGAAGCGTACGAATAGAAATTAAATAAAAATAACCTTACACCGGAAGAATGTTGCCTATCCACAGAGATTCAGTGAAGCAAGTTATTTTGAGTACGTGACCGTCGGCACCAGATGAGGTTAAATATTCTTTAAGGCCTACCTACTCAGGACATCATTTTCTCAATGGCTAGCCTCACACAAGATTAGAAAATCGAAAACAGTGTGATGCAGGTTAAAAATACACAAATTTCATAGGATTCTTTGGATTATCCACCTATTTTTTTAAAATCGAATGAGTGGCTGAATTCGCTCGATGGAAATTAAGTAGTAGGCAATTTCGTTCACATTGTATAGCGGCCAGATTTCAGAAAAATGCTCCCCAACATTTATGAACCACGCTTTGCTGAATGGTATATCCAAAACAACTATCCAAAATGTACAAAGTTAGAGTTTTCTAGCTTGAGATGCAAAATTTGGAGAAACTAAATAACTGAATACAGAATTCAACATATTTCCCCGTGAAGTTGACACGTCAGAANTGAGTAGACTGTTTAATTCAGTCATGGAACGAATATTTTTTGATATTGATTGATTTGAACTGGCTATTCTTCGGACTTCACCTTCACGCACAATCCTCAGTTCATCGAATCAACCATACACCCCGAGTGTATGTACCTATGTATGTATGTATCACTACCCACCCCGCTCGATGCAATGGGCAGTGCGGCCCTGATAATCCTGCGCGACGACCGATGCAGTATGAAATTATTTTTAGTTTGCGTATTCATTGGAGCTTTATGGATGAGTACTGTCAGGGAGTCCAATCACTAAGTAGGAGAACGGTTCTCAACCAAAACCTTTAGTTCTGACAGAAACCTAACCATAAGGCAGCGGTTAAGGTGGATTGGAGGCCCAATAACCCGAATCAGTTACTCCTTCAACACGTTTTACCGACTGAGATACCATCTCAAGTCGAACTCCCAACCTGGAGGACCAGGAGACTGGCCTTCGTGCGACCTCTACTCATTGACCTTCCAGGCATGATTAGATCTCCTGGCTTGACAAAAGCCATCCTGTGTAGCTCGCTGGCACACAGAGGTTCACAAGCCATCACACCACGTCGAGACGGATCTGACCGTTCGTGTGATTGCTTTGTCCAGAGTTTTCTTCAGTAGATCACTACTCGAATCTTCTTTGATGGGAAGCTGCAAGGATGGTTCTTTCTTTTGAATCGTGGTTGCTTAGAGTGTTGTGGGTCTTCTTATGAGATTTTTGTTGATAAAACGGTTCAAGTATCCCTTATTTAGGAGTAGAGATTTGATGTTTCTTCGTTCTTTCATCAACTCCATGGAGCAGATCTTTCGAGCCCTAAGGACAGACATTTTACTAGGTTGTGTTTATATTTGATTGGAGTGAAGCTTTGAGAATGAATGCATTGACCATTCCAAGTTGATTTGTGAGAAATCGGCGGACACAATTTTTATTTTCGTCCCTTCTTAAGGTTTACGTCGAAAAAATGAAACCTATTCCGGTCTGTTTCGGTTGTAAAGCAAACAGATGAATGAGATCGGTTAAAATGATACGATATTTTACTTGGTAAAACATTTTGACTGGAAAAGATAAGAATATTGTCGACTTAGCAGCGGAAGAGTGGGAATTGATGGCTGATTTCCGGTAGTTATTTGTTTTCCAGTTTGGCCACGAACACATCAATCAGAAGCTGGCCTAGTGGGGAACCCATGGCTACGATAAGAATAAGCATATTCGGTGGTGGTTTGAGAAAGCCACCCCAAAAGATAGATGTGCGTAGTCAAGGTCAAGGTTTGGCAGGAATACAGCTTTTGACAGATGGTTCTACAGTTCCTAGTAGATAGTAGGGAAACAGTTGCAAACGACGGAATATAAAATATTGAATCACAAAATAACAGATGGACGCCAAACTCACTCGGATTTATTATCCAAATCGATGAATTTTCACTGTCCAGATAAAACTGTCGTATGGAGTGAGGCTGTTATTGCAACTGAGAAGATATTTGAGATCAATAATATAGCCAGGCGCAATGGAAATGATAAGGTGGCCAACATGGGTTTTACGTGTGCCTTATTCATTATTCAAATACAGCACAAATAATGTGGTCGAGCTGAACGTGAGTGACGGAATAGTGAGCAAATGATGAGTGGATAGAAAGAGTCAAAATTTGAGTACACAGCGATAAATCATAGTCAAGTATCCGATATTCTGATCATTTTCGGTATTGCTAC